ATGCCAAATCGAGATACCGAATATTAGGGGATAAATGTGCAATCGATTCATTAATATATTTTAATCCAGCAATATACAAAAATTCTAAGCTATGGCACGATTCTGCAATCTCATAAATAGATTTATCGGTAATGTTTTTACAATAGGAAATATTTAGATACTTCATATTATAACATGATCGTGCAATCTCAGAAATGGAAATATCAGTTATTTCTTTATTATTACGAATATTGAGATGTTTTAAGTTGGGATATGAATATGCGATTTTAATGAGGGCTGTATTGCCGAACCCTTTGCTAAAATTGAGATCTAGATGAACTATACTGGGACATACTTGTATAATTTTTCTGATTTTTCTATTTGAGAGATTGTGGTATTTTGCAATTTCAAGATACTTTAGGCTTGAACCATAGAGAGGCGTAGATTCTTTACGTATTGCTTTTACAAACCTTTTTAGCCGTTTAAGATTATAATTCAGATAAGTAAAATGACGGTTTTTTTCTCCATTCAATACAATCTTACTCCATAGAATTGGAGCGGAACAGTGGTACCAAACCCTATTAACAAAGAGAGTTGGGTAAAGCGATTTATCTTTTTCTAGATATGAAAAAATGATTTCAAGTAATTCTGGTAATACGAATAAAGGTGAAGAGTGACTCTGCATTGTTATTTTCAATCCATATTTTTTAAATTTTCTATTTTAACACATATTAATAAATATTATAACATAACATCGACGACAACTAAAGCTACTATCGATTCGGGTGCTGACTTCTCAACTATGGCTGAAGAATTTGCTAAACGTTTGGGATGGAAAATTAATGATGATAACCACGAATCTCAGAATATCAATAATGTGGTATCGAGTATTGTTAGACAAGTATCGGGTAAAAAAATCTGGATTTCTCTACACCAATTACTAGAGATAGTAAAACCCGAGATTCAGCAGGATATTATAAACTCGATAGCAAACCCGAATATTTCTCGAAGAAATCATACACCATGTAAGGCTAAAAGAAAAAAACCAATTTTTAACGATACTGCATCTGAGACAACATCCACATCTTCATCCTCATCTGGGTCTGATTCTGAATCGTCTAATGAAGATAAAGATTTTACTGTGAGTGCGGTAAAAACAAAGAAGTGTGATTAATCTTGATCATAGATTCAGAATGGTCTTGCCTGCTCAGGTGTTTGACCTAGTTTGCGATAATTTACTACAACATAATTTTGAACTGGAGAAGTGTGGTTGTCACTTGAATGTCTTAGACATTCTCTAGCAATTGTCATTAGATGAGCTGGATTTTTAGCTCCATGTACTACAGCACCGTAGACTGCCCCTATTTTACGTAAATGTTTAGGAATTAAATTATAGTCTTTTAAGAATCTATTGAACCATTTAACTCCTGGCTTACCTGGATCGCCCATTCGTCCAGATGATATAGCACACTGAATCCAAGTGAGTAGTTTTTTGGCTCGTTCTTCATTCTTTTCCATAGATCTAAATTTTCGAGGAGTATCTATCTGACCTCGATTCTTTGCATAACCCGTCACTCTAGCATCTGTAATACGTAAAGATGTAAGTTCAGCAGGGCGTATACAAAGCATTATCATAACATCTGTGAGAGCTTGTAAATCGGGCGGGGTAGAAATATCATACTTATCTAATCTTTCCTTAACTGATTCTAATGTAAAGTGGTCTGGATAATCAATTCTCTCGAAT